GCCAGTAGCGTCCTTCAGGAGGCTCCTCCACAGAGGCCGATCTTGACACGGCTGGTACCAGTCATCGGCAAGTCGACTCAGCTCCACGTCCTCCTGTACCACATCACTTCATCTATTTTCTAGCCCGTGCCGGGCCGTTTATCCCCCTCGATCCGGCCGAACAAAAGATGTTTAGGCATATTCTTAGGTTTTTTCGGTAAAGTCGCTGGGCTCAACCATTATTATGCAGTCTATTCTTAGTCTTAAGCCTCACCTTACCATATTAATAAAAGTATGCGGCCCTTGCCCCACCACCATCTTCAACCATTATATAAACGGAGTGGTAGCTCCTACAATCTCTCATTTACTTGATACAGCCGTCGTGGCTGTGACGGTACCACCTGAAGACGGAAGCTTGTGTTGCCTCCGAACGTCGTGATTTTTATTTTATTTTCATTTTATTTTTTAATGTTTTTACCTACGTGACTTTACCAAAAAAACCTAAGAATATGAATCATTGCAGTCACGAAAGCTTCAAATCTAGAATGTTTAGGCATGCGGTGTTTGGCCATGCGGGCTACATGACTCAAGCAACGCAGCCTTACCTGGCGGAAGAGCTCACTGATGGGACTTTGTCCACATCTTTCAAGGATTTGTGAGCTCCTCACACAATGCAGCCTGGTTAAACCCAGGATGGATCGTTAACAGGCCAGCCTAAATGTTTCTAACCGGCGAAGATGTTCCATTAAGGGAGATGCACGTTTCGCAAGCGTATAGAAGGGAGGGAATTACCGTGGCCGAGAAGACCTGAAGCTTCGTGAAGAGCGACAGACCAGGTAGCTTCCACACGGCGCTCGACTGATTTGAAGTGAGACTTCTGCTGTTAAACCGGAGCCGGTCATGAGCACACTGGCCAGGTATGGGAATCTCGGCAATCTCTCCACAACTGGCGCATCACGAATTGTGAGCTGTGGGGGTGGATTGTTCGATGGTACAAAATAACCAGGCAGGTGCTTAGTTTTGGTGGGGCTGATGGTAAGGCCCCACCTCTTAGTGGCAAGCTCCAGGTTCAGCAGCAGTGAGCAGCAATCACCAGAGCATCGGCATACATAACATGGTTGAGCAATAGGGAGGCATCCGTTGACCGCACCCGGGCATCGATCAGCCTCCCATTGTATCTGCACCATTCATCGGGTACAGCCATTGAAGGCTTCACGAACTACGTGGTCAAAAGATGTGGAGCCAGAGGACATCCCTGTCACACCATCATGAAGGTCCTTAAGGATCGTGAGCAAAGTTTGAGGGACTCCGAAAGCATCAAAAACAATCCAGAGGCCAGGCCTACTGGTGGTATCATAGGCCTTGAGCAAGTTAATAAAGCACATACATTCACTCACACACACACATGGACCTACAGACACGCAAAGAAATGGACTTACACTGACTGACATGGAGCCATGCACACAAAGCGACTAACACAGACGTCCATGGACTGACACACACAGACATATCGACTGACACACACAAACACATGGACTTACTCACACACACATATGGACTGACACACGCATAAACATGCACTTTAGATACACACACATGGAGTTACACACACATACATAGACTGACACACATACATCGACTCACATACAGACATACGTGGACTCACACACACATTGACGTAAACATACATGTACTTACACACACATATCGACTAAGACACACACACATGGACTTACACACACATACATAGACTGACACATGCATTGCCCTACACACACATAGACATATGTACTGTGATACACAGACATCTACTTTAGATACACACATGTAGATTAACACACACACATCGACTGACACACATAGACACACAAACGCACATTGACTTATACACTCAGATGGAGGCATAAACACACATCGACTCACACACACACGCATTCACTTAGACACACACACATCGAGTGAAACACACACGTATGGACTTACACACACATATGGACTAACACACACAGCGACTGATATGCACACAAATGGACTGACACACACACACAAACACTTGTACATACACACACATAGGGCGTTGTCCGTTTGAAAAAGACAGACATACACATGGACTCACACACAGACATGGAGCCACACACATAGAAACCCATCGACTTATGCGCACACAAAGACATATGGACTCACACACACAGACATCGACTTTAGGGACACACATGTAGTTTCTACACACGAACATTATAATTGTAATATTAGGCAACTTATTAGTTTCATAATAGTAAACGAAGCAAAGTTGTTATGTGCACACAAACATTATCATTGTAATATTTCTAAACTTATTTGTTTAATAATAGTAAACAATAAACCTCAGTTCTTAGCGAAAGATGCAAGAAAATTGTACTTTACATTGGCGTGGTGACGCGTCGTCCCGTGCAGAGCCCGCGGCCTCGCCTAGATTGGCAAGCCGGAGGAGGTGAGACGTTGCCAAGCTGCGAGCTAGGCCGCTACCCCTCCCACCATCCCCCCGCCCGAGGCAGAATAATACCATGTAAGCGTTGTCATAATATTAAATTAATATGTAAGGGCTGTATAGCAGTAACTGCACGCATTGTGGTGGGGGGGGGGAGACGACATCACACTGTGAAGTGAAATCGGAAGCGTGATGTGGATATTTATTCCATGTTAAATGCGTAAAATAAAATGTCTCCCGTGAGCTGGAGCGAACGCGCATGACTTGGCAGGGTTCGCCCCCCCCCACGCAATTGTCGTGAGTTGGTACGGTCGATGTCGCGCAATAAGTAAATAATGAATAATAGAAACGGCACAAATGTGTTAACTAAACTACTTTAAAGTTTACGAATCGGGAAAACGGAATAGCCTATTCCCACCGCGGGCTTAGGGCGTGCTGCCTGTCAAAAACATTTCTACCTAAAGCCCACCGTCCGAGAGCCAAATCCCCCGCAAGCGCGAGCGCGTGGAGACTTTTATATATAAGATGTTTTATTTCTATTATTTTATTATTTCCCTTCTACGTGACTTTACCAAAAGAACCAAGAAGATGAATCCCTGCAGTCACGAAAGCTTTAAATCGAAACTTGGGGGACGGTTCTGTATGAGCTGTCCTAGCGCCCAGGGGGTCCGATCCCCATGAGCTGAGCCCTAATGCCTCCGTGTTTTCCATGCTCCACGTGGGACAGCTCACCGCAGTGGTCTCGCTGTACTCTTATGTAAAAACTAAAATTAAAATAAATTAAATCACGACGTTACGGAGGCAACACAAGCTTCCATCTTCAAGTGGTACCGACACAGCAAAATTACTGTATCAATTTTACTGTGTCGGTGCCACCTGAAGACGGAAGCTTGTGTTGCCTCCGAAATGTCGTGATTTAATTGGTTTTTATTTAACTTTTTACCTACGTGACTTTACCGAAAAAACCAAAGAGTATGGACCCTTGCAGTCACGAAAACTTCAAATCTAGAATCAAGGTATCGCTGTAGTTTATCAGTCAAATCTCACTTTACGTTCACGTCAAATCCAATTTTCTCCCGTTACATTTGAGTTTGTCACTGTCTGTCCTCGCTCGCTATTTCAACGTTTCTCTCATTCTCGTTTAGGGCCCTCCTGACAGTAATGTCACTACTCTCTGGTTCTTTCGGTAAAGTCACGTAGTTAGAAATAAACTAAAACTAATCACGACGTTTCGATCGCAACACAAGCGGTCCGTCGTCAGCCCTTGTTGCCTGATGACCGATGCTTGTGTTGCGATCAAACGTCGTGATTTGTTTTATTTCATGTTATTTCTACCCACTTTGACTTTACCGATAGAACAAAAAGAGTATGGATTCCTGCAGTCACGAAAGCTTCAAATCAAAGCAGTGTCACTAGTTTCTTGAACGACCTCTCCCGATTTACTGTTCCTACTTCCTAAACGTTTCCCATTGACTGATTCTCGGAGGCGACTTTAACTGCCCCAACGTTCTTACCCGTCCCAATTGGACATGTGTGAAAAAGAGCTTATATAGCTCATCGGATTTCTCCAGTATAAATGAATATTCTGATTCTGTTTCTGTACATATGTTGAATGTCTGTCGCACCGTACGTAGCTGCAGGGTTCACGTCCAGGCAGGTAGTAAAACTATATTTTTCCGAGGCAGAAATGACGAAAGTGCAACCCAACGCCCAGAACAAACAAATAATTTCGAACTGTAGATCGCACGTGAAGAAAAATTAAAACCGAACAAGTATTTTCTGGATTCTTTTATTTAAAAGGCGAGTCACATTTGGGGCCTTAGCAAACGACACCGGCGCGCATCCCGGTCACGCTGGTGACTCTCACACGCATGCGACTGTGGAGTCCTCATGCCGAGCAGGGGTCAAATATCCACTTGTGCCACGATTGTCTTGGTCAAGGCAATGCTGGGTCTGTACTAACGGCTGGAATTGCATCATTACCTCATTGCTCTGTTACAGAACCTTCCATTTATCACGTTTTGGCTTGACCCCACGCTCGGCTCGGTTATGTGGTAACAGAAGAGTTCAGTGGGGAGAGGTCATGTCTGGGCCGTGCTGGCTGTGGACACACCTGTTACAAAGCAATATTGGCACGACAATCCAAACGTGTACAGATCTCTAGAGGTGGCCCGGACGGTTGGGCCTAAAGCCTGGCCCATAGATGATCAGCGTGAGCAATGAGCGGCGAGCCACGAGGTCGCTTCTGAACATCGCCAGAACGGGTTTCACTTGCAGAGCAACTGACGACACGTAGCGGACGGCCGTAATCTGTGACACCGAATCACTGGGCCTGGTCGCATACGAGCACAGCAAGTACACGCGGAAAAAACACTTTAACGCAAATGTAAGGTTTTCCCCTTTTAGATGTGACGTTCAAGCAATGACCGAGCGATTCGCGCAGAATCTGGGAATACGTGGCTCGGTTGCCGTTGCCGACGATCATCGTCTCGCGCGTGAGCCGGTTTGAAGGGTAGACCGAGACGTCTGGCCAAGCGAGAAGGAGGTGGGGGGGGGGGGGGGGGGGCGGGGGGGGGGGGGGGCGAGCGGCCGACCCCAAACGTCTAAGCGCAGGGGCAGCCCTTGAAGACGAAGGAGAGGGGCTCCCCAGGTGCGGCCTCCGACGAGATGCTGTTGATCACGGAGCCGTCGAAGGAGAGGACCCCCGGCATCTTCACCACCCTCACCACACCGCCCAACTCCGGGATGACCACGCCGGCGTGTGCGGCAGCAACGCACACCATCGAGTCCTGCCGAGGGGCCACCGATGTTCATTACAGCAGCAGGGACGGTGGTGGCAGCGATAATAAGAAATATTTTTTATCCAGTATGGCCCGCGTTCGCGTGGATTTTTCTCCGGGTCCTCTGGGTTTTTCCCTCCATATTTAGGATCAACGTGCGTTCAAAGTATTTGGCTACTGCTATAAATGTCCACACGATGATACGTCACTTCGTTGAGCTATAATTTGTGATATGCAGGTCGCTTCTGACAGCTATTAAAGCTCAATGGGCCTTACCTGATAAAATAAAATTCGTGAAGTTTTAGTTCAAACAACTCGCCATGCTTGAGAACCCGTTTCAATCGCGTGCGGCTCATACCCATATTCTATCCCGGAATCTCAACGGTGCCGGCTTGGTGTTCCAACCCCTGAGTCATGCAAGCACCACTCTCCACCCTTACCAACGAGTAGATGTCGCTGCCCTTGACTTTGTAGCCCTTGACAGCTTGGCATCCCGGAAGACACAAAACCCTACAAACCACAATGACACAGCAAGCGCGGCAATTAGCAACGTCACGGAGCCGTGCCATTAGGGGCCCTGAGCAAACGTTCGAATTAAACGACGTCTGTTTAGCCTGCACGCGAAGTGACAGCTTCGTCGGTGTATCGGTGCGCCCCCCCCGCCACCCGCGTCTTGTAATTCCGGCGTTCTCTTACACTGCGGCGCTGTCCGTCAGTAATTCCTTGGCCGTGGTGGTGCAGGTGATGGCTGCAATACAACGCGCACACACACGCTCGGGTTTAATTATGCTACTAGCCTGTAACAGACTATTGGGGGCAAGTGCTTTTAGAGAGTAGCGGACACCTATGAAGGCTGGCACGGCGCATGAGGGGGTTGGGTGGTCAGCACCACGCCCGGCCGCCTTTGTCTCCCACAATGGCGATCTTTACACAATTCGCACTGGGTACCCATTGGAGGCTGGGTCGACTTAGGGGAGGGCTCGGGCCGACTTCAGATAATCGTCACCGGTGCTGGTGGCCGTCGTGAGCTAAAATCGAACTCGGGTCGTTGGGTTCGTAGCGTGGCATAGCGCTACCCGCTACACTACCCCAATGATACTATCATATCACACACGGGATAGATTTTTACCGATCCTGGCCCGCTGAATGAAATTAGTCCATCCTGTCTTAATTTCTCACTTTTTCGAAACCTGGCACCTGCGTTCCCCTGGTCCATGGGCTTCAGGTGCACTTACTACTCACTTACCACTTTTTTATTTTACCAGATAAGGCCCACTGAGCTATATAGGTCTTTTTCAGAACCAACCTAGCCACAAATGATAGCGCTATGAGGTGGCATATCTTGTAGAAATTTATAGCACCCAAATACGCTAAACGTGTGCTGTTGATTCTAAATATGAAGGGAAAACCCGGAGGACCTGGACAAAAATCCATGCGACCATGGGGAGAGAAACATGAAAACTCCAAATATACAGGCGACAGGGTCGAAATTGAACCCACGACCTGCATACCAATCGAGAGAGTTAACATCCTGCCACCATACCGCCTAGACACTCCACAGCTATGCCATGTGTTCAGACAATCGTGCAGGGTGGCTACAATCCCCTGGGTCAATTTGCAATCTTTTTGGCAAGGATGTCGTAGGTGGGACAGTGGAGATGGGAGGCACCAACTCACCTTTAGGTCCCTTGGATTCACCTGTGGGAGGGAAAGGATGGACAGGTGGGCGGTCAGTAAAACACGAGACGACACAACAAGCATCGCCCAGGGTTACTGGCGTACATTATTTTCCAATTGGTGCCCAGTTGCATTGGCAATGCCATTATTCCCGAAGAAACAATGACAATTATCATCGCATTATTTAAAGGACGCTTTAGACTTACAAATAACGACGCTGGCCGTCGATCAAAGGCGGTCACCGCTGCGGCGCTTTCAAATGCGCTTCTGTGGCCGTCTGGAACGCACTTCCCTTCCGATATTAAGAAGCCACTGGGAGCTATGCACTTTTAAATCATATAGATTGACAAACTCATTTCTTTAGTACTGCTTTTGTGTTTGTTGTCCCTACCACACACCTCCGATTAGCACGGTTGGCTATGTGCGGTGTGAAAGAAGTTAAACATAAATACATTCACAGAAGATCAAAACCAGCAGCAGCATCTGAAGCTCAGGACTGTGTGAGACTGACATTTTATATGGGATGAATCTACAAATTCCACCTTTGAAGTGGAAAGAGCGAACCAGGCTGCGGGAATTTAAACATCAAGTGTGCCACGTCGGATAAAACGATTTAAACCATTAACTGTTAATCTTTTTTTACCAGGTAAGGCCCCACTGAGCTATGCAGCTCTTTTTTCAGAAACGACCTGGTCACAAATGATGGCTCAACGAAGTGGCTTATCATCATCAGGTGGACATTTATAGCAGCCAAATACTCTAAACGTGCGACATTGATTCTAAATGTGGAGGAAAAACTCATGGTGAGAGATACACCGTCAGGGTCAGGATCGAACCCTCGACCTCCTGCATACCAGGTGAGGGAGTTAACATCTCACCACCACCGCAGATGATGGTGAAATGTGAGTCTCTGTTAAAAAAAAAAAGATAAACAGGAGCCTGACTGATGCTGCATTTACCTCCGATGATCCGTGTTTTGTCCATCATCAGCTGGGTCGTGTCTATGACCACCCCCACATATTCTGCAAAAGAAGGAGCCACCACGTGAACACTTAAGTCTGTAAAAAAGTGATTTTAATTACTTTTCATAGAAAAACCAATGTTCTTCGTCTCTTTAACTGCGATTCTTAAATGTTATTGTTAGTGTTTAATGTTAGGTTAGTAACAGTTAGTGTGTGCTGTTCTCCAGTTGCCTGGGTTAAAAGTGGGCGAGGTTTTGCACAATCCTGGCGAGCTGGCTCAACAACTTAATAAACTAAAGTAACATAGAGACTCATAGAGATGTATAGAGACTCATAGAGATACATATAGACTCAGAGATACGTAGAGATGCATAGAGACTGGGTGAAAAGTGGGCTATGTTTTTCCCACAAATCAGCAATGTGTTACTTAAAACCCATTGTAGGGTTGATGAATATGGTATGGAGGGGTCGTGGGGCGTGCGCGTGACTGGCTCCACAATTTGTGCGTATACATCACACGGGATGGGTGACGGGAAGTGCCGCTTACCAGTCTTGACGACTGCGGAAACAAAGAGAGCACAAAAAAAACGTTCATTAGGAAGCCATTGACTGACTGCCTTGCGTAATCAGGGCCCTCCATAAGGGGGCCCCGGGCAAATCTCACCATGTGGGTCCCACCCCCTCCTCCGCCGACGCCTTCAAACTAAACCGGGGAGTATCGCGTCTAAATGTGTCGTCGTTCACCCACCAGCACCACCCAGGCGCAGCCAACTAGCAAGGTTCATCACGTGTAAACATAACGTGGTGCTTCTTCTTGGTTCTTTCGGTAAAGTCACGTAGAAGGGAAATAATAAAATAAAATAAAACATAATAAAATAATTATCACGACGCTTCGGCCACAACGCAAGCAGTTGTCCTCAGGTGAAGAACAGGTCTGTCGGAAAGACAGCGTCTGAATGAACACCACCAGGCTTGGCAGCGTATATTTAAGCTAGGTTGGAGGGAGAAAAGCGCCTGGACAAAAAACTAAAATATAAACTACATCAGTATCACCAGTATACTAAATATACTCTCCGATAAGCTGAGCTACTAACATGACTGCCTCTGTAGCTGCCGCTATGTCGACCAAATGTAAGGACAACTTGATTTCCAAATTCAACCTCCTCTCTAATAAGAGACCGGACCCACAAACCGAAAAGCGAGACGTTAACAAAGTCGTAATTAATCGCCGTAACAGTTGTATTTATGATGGTCTGAAATCCATTTTAGCTAAAGGATTAAACTTTGCAGTCACACCTTGACACATACCAGTTAATGTTGTCATTGCCTGAGTAGATGTGGCTCTCAAGGGTCTGGGTCACATCGCTGCAGACGTAGCAACATCTGAAATCGCTGCAACCCTCAAAAACGCTAAGATGCCAGGTAGCAACATCAGCAAAGATGAGCGTTTTGAATTAGCTCAATTAAAAAAGAGGGATGACATTGTCATCCTCTCAGCCGACAAAGGCAAAGCCACTGTCATCATGGACAAAATAGAATACAACAACAAAATTCAAGAACTACTCAACGATGGCAGCTATACAAAAATAAAAAAGACCCCACCAACAGCCTCGTCACTAAAACCAACAAAATCATTTCTGATTCAACCGCATTAATTGATCAAACCCAACAGTTCTCGTTGAAACCTTCTGCAGCCAGGCCACCAAGATTATATGGCTTGTCAAAGATACATAAAGAAGATACACCCCTTCGTCCCATTGTCTCTACTATCAACTCCCCCACCTATACACTGGCTCGTTTTTTGTCTGAAATCCTGCAGCCTTTCACTGGAAAAACCACCTCTGCGATACTAAACTCTACTGACCTGGTATCGACAATCAAGGGAATTTCCCTGTCCCCAGACGACCTGCTTGTCAGTTTTGATGTGGTTTCCTTATTCACCAAAGTTCCTGTACCTGACACCATCGCAATCATTGAAGACTTGGTTCATCAAGGACTGCATACTGAGGTACCCCCCCCTGGTGAGACACTGCTTAACCAATACATACTTCACCTGGAATGGAACTTTCTACAAACAAACTGAGGGCACCCCAATGGGCTCGCCCCTATCTCTGGTTGTAGCCAACGTTTTCATGGAGAAATTTGAGACTGACGCCATCCAGACTGCCACTCTACGCCCGACCTTATGGAAGAGGTATGTAGATTACACTTTTGTCATCTGGCCACATGGCCGGCCTGCTCTAGACCAATTCCTGGACCACATCAATTCTATACACCCAGCCATCAGATTCACCATGGAAGTCGAAAAAGATGGCAAGCTACTCTTTTTGGATGTCCTAATTAAAAGGACACCTGATGGTTCAATGAGCCACTCTGGTCTAAAGGAAAGCCACCCATACGGATGCTTACCTAAAACCGGATTCCCACCACCATCCATCCCAGAAGAATTCCCTCATCAAGACTCTACACCATAGAGCCCAATGCATCTCCGACCAGGAACACATTGCCAGTGAACTCAAGCATGTACGCCAAGCTCTTAAGGCTAATGGTTACTCCGACTACACAATCTGCAAAGTCATCACTTCAACCATCAAGAAGGATCCTGTTGAGGAGCCTTTCAAAACCATCACCTTACCCTACATTGCTGGGGTCACAAAAAAGATCTCCAAAATCTTGATTAAACACAAGATCCAGGTCCTATTCAACACAGTACATACAATCCGTGATCTGGTCCCGTCTGTAAAAGATGTGGTTCCAGACATACAGTACCCTGGCGTCTACAAACTAAGTTGCCTCTGTGGTAGCAGTTACATTGGAGAAACCTAACGACATGTCTCGGACCGCATCCGTGAACATAAAGCAGACCTGAAACACGGTAGGACAAACACCTCAGCCATTGCAGATCACTGTTACAATTCAGTGGGCTCACATGACATTGACTTCTCCAAGACAGACGTTCTCTGCAAGCCATCTGGCTACCATGAGAGATTCGTTCATGAGGCGATCCACATATACAAACACAGAGACAATTTCAACCGAGAAGATGGATTCTGGCTCAGCAATCATTGGAAGGACGTAATAAACCATTTCGGATCTTAACTGATTGTGTTCACAGTTTACGGTGACTTTCAGACCGCAGTCCACTCACTGGCATTGACTATATATATTTTATTCTCCGCAAGGGAATGGATTCTGTGCTCCGCTGCAAGTCTCCTACCACCACTCTCCCATTGACATATTTCGTTTCTTCCTCTTAGTACCTTTCACGCGACGGTCAATGGTATAGTGTATAGCAGATTGTATAATAATAAATAGTATAAAAGTGTAATGTTTAATATAATGTATAAGGTAATATATAGTATCGTAATTGTATAGTGAATATACAGCAGTGTGGTATACAGTAGGGTGGGTAGAATAATACATAGTGTAATATTACAATATATAGTCTAAGGACAGGGGTGTCCAAACTTTTTGCAAAGAGGGCCAAATTTGATAAAGTGAAGATGCCCGGGGGCCAATATTTCCTTCTGACATTTCTTTAACTACAAAAGTTACGTGAAAATACACACTGTTATAAAACAATTTTCATTGTTACAATTACCTTTATTTTTCAAACTGACAATGTAACCAAATATAAGCCACTCCAGGCAGACGTGAACAACTCTAAATTCTGCCTTTCATTCAGTCAGATAACATTGAACAAACTGTATAGAAAACCTTACATTATATGAGTTAAATATCTTTGCCTCATGAACATTTTAAGCAGGAGTTATAAGTAATGCAAAGTGGTCTGTTATCATTAAACTTTAAAACAAGTGAATGTTGCCCTTGTCTTTTACAAGATCTTTCAGAAAGCAATAGTTTGTGTCACATCTACAGGTACATAACATCAACAGTTATAACCAAATCTTATTAAAGAGTTTAATAAAACAAGTGCCATAAGTCCAAGAGCATTAGTGTGCTTTAGGCTTTTCACTGTTAATAGTGACATGTTACCGTTCAAAACACTCAATTTCAGATTGATCAAGGAACAGATAACCTGCTGACACTAATGAGAAGGGTGATACTGAGATCTAGATTTCATTAAAGAGACCAGGTCTGGCTTGAGGGCAGTGGTTGAGATGCGTAAAATGTCACGCAAGTGGGAGTCACTCATCCTTGACCTCAATCGGTTCTTGTTTAAGTTCATGACTGAGAATGTTTGCTCACACAAATATGTGGAGCCGAATAAGCTCAGCATTTTCTTAGCGAATGACCGCATTTCTGGAAACCTGCTTTTGTCCAGCTGCCGGTAAAAGTCAACAAGAGAACACTGCTGATGTTTTCCGCGCCACTCATCGTCACACTGCAGCTCAATGAGCTCCAGCTGCAGCTTTGGAGTAGCATTATTAGGGTCCATGGAGAAGGGAGAAGAGAAAAGCAACATGTCCTTTTCAATAACTGCAAAGTCCCGAAAGTGTTTGTTAAATTCCACAGAAAGAGATGCGATAGCTGTTGCATAACTCTTCATTTGCGCACCGATGTTGTCCTGTGGGAAACTGTCAATGACCTCTTTCAAAGCTAGGAAGTGCGCGGTGCAGGGCTCTGTTTGGGACAAGTGTCTTTGGAAAAGTTGCAGTTTGGTTCCAAAGGCCTTGATGTGAGTGTATAGCTGGCTCACCACTGTATCTTTTCCTTGAAGATTAACATTCAGTGCATTCAGATGCTTCGTTATGTCAACCAAAAAAAATCCAGATTTGCCAGCCATACAGATTGGACAGTTCTTCCATTGGTTGTCCCTTTTCACCCAAAAAATGTCCAATTTCCTCTTTGAGAGAGAAAAATCGCTGCAGTGCGGACCCCCGACTTAGCCACCTCACATCGTTGTGATATATTACGTCACCGTATTCAGCCTGGATGTCACGCAAGAACTGCTGAAAATGTCGGTGGTATAGAGCTTTAGAGCGAATAGAATTGATTGCCTTTGCCACTGGTTTCATAACATCGTCAAATTTGAGATGTTTGGCGTAGAGAGCCTGCTGGTGAATGATACAGTGAAGTATAATAGCGTTACCTGCTTCTTCGCTGACTTTATTGCAGATCAGTGTGGACAATCCACTTCGCTCACCAACCATGGCAGGCGCACCATCGGTAATGATCCCATAAACTTTACTCCATGGTAGTTTCATATCATCAACAGCTTCACAAACAAAAACGAATAAATCTGTTCCTCTGGTTTGCCCTTTAAGGCTTTTGAGGTCAAGCAGCTCCTCTGTCACGTTCATGTTGTCATCAACTCCTCTTTAAAAAATAGGTAGTTGTGCAGTGTCAGATGCATCGGTGCTTTCATCGCAGGCTAATGAGAAGTAATGAAAAGTACACTCCCCTGTCCCCCAGTTGTCTCTGAATATCCTGACGATATGTCCTCAACTCTCCATGCCACAGTGTTGCGTGCCAGGCAAACATTCATAAATTCTTGCTTCTTCTCAGGGCAAATGTTCTCCACCATTTTCATGACACAGTCTTTGATAAACGCACCTTCAGTAAAAGGTTTGCCATGTTTAGCTATTAACATGGCCACTTCATAGCTGGCTTTGGTGATGTTTTCCTTTGACTCAATGGCCCGCGTGAAGAATCGCTGTTGCGATGCCATAGCAGCTTGGAGTTGCTTCACTTTTTCAGCACGATCACTCCCTGTTAGCTAGTCGTATGTTGTAGCATATTTAGTCTCGTAGGTGTCTCTTTACGTTGAAATCCTTAAACAAGGCAACCGTCTCTTTACAAATTAGACAAACACAATTGCCTCGATTTCCAGTGAAGAAGTATTGTAATTCCCACCGCTCCTGAAAGCAGGCGGCCCTCACTGTCAAATTTTCTCTCTTTTTTTTGCAGTCGCCATGGCAGAAATTACTCGAGAAGGGTTCGCGGCACGGATGCAGAGCCAGATAGCATTAGAATGGTGCTGCCACCGTGTTGTAAAAGGAGGAATACATCTTTAAAGTTTTATGATTTATTTATTCTGACAGAGCTAGCGAGCCATAAAAAACACATTATAAGACCAAAGCTGCGGGCCGTATGAAATCTGACCGTGGGCCGTGATTGGCCCGCGGGCCGGACTTTGGACATGCCTGGTCTAAGGTATAGGGTGGTGTATAGTAATACAGTATATAATTTAATGTTGGGTTTGTCTATGGCAGTATATAGTACGGGGTAGACCAGTGTGATGTAAAAGAAAAAAGTTTAGCTGGAGGCATATTATGTTTTTTGCGACGTAGAATTGTAATGTATGACTTACTGTTAGTAGCTCAGCTTATTGGAGAGTATATTTAGTATACTGATGATACTGATGTAGTTTATATTTTAGTTTTTTTACGTGGTGGTTTAGTTGCTGCAGCTCTATACTATTAACAATCCTTCCCTTTATTAATGCTAACCCTACTCCCTCCCTTTTATGCTGCTAATCCTGCATAATGCACGGGCATAATATGACTTTGAAACCCCCCGCCCACCTCCTACGCATTTCACAAGTAGTGACTAATCTCATATCTGCATTTCCCATAAATATGCTAAATTCCTCTTGATTTGCAAATTACTTTATCAAGGCGCTCTTCTCCCTCCAACCCGAGCTTAAATATACGCTGCCAAGCCTGGTGGTGTTCATTCAGACGCTGTCTTTCCAACAGACCTGTTCTTCACCTAAGGACGGCTGCTTGCGTTGTGGCCGAAACGTCGTGAGAATTATTTTATTATGTTTTATTTTTATTATTTTATTATTTCCTTCTACGTGATTTTACCGAAAGAACCAAGAAGATGAATCCCTGCAGTCACGAAAGCTTTAAATCGAAACATAACTTGGTGCTGATTAGTTACTATTGCTCCGGCCCGCCGGGCGTCGTTTGCTCCAAAAGACGTGATTTGTGTTTTCCCATTATTTGTCAGAGGTGGGGGGGGGGGGAGCTTTTGTTTTCTCTCTGTCGTATTCTTCCAAATTGTGCTCCTGTCCTCCTGACGTTCCTCCGGTGTCGGAGGAACGTCAGGAGGTCCCTCTTTTATCTGCGAGCCAAGTGGGCAACGTCATTTTTTTCTTCTACAACGATAATAACAAAGCAAAGGTGTGTCCCTGCAATGTCTCGCTGACGCTACTGCTGATGGAAAGGCCTCAAGTAGAGGGCCTACTCTTCCATGCTGGCCAGATATCGTGGAATAGGTAGGAGGAAGTACCCAAACTTTGCCCAAACACGCACGACTTGTGCCGATCAATTAGCTTTGGGCTTTTCCATTGCCACACCGGGGAGACTGAATTGGTGACATGTGGATTGTACGTCCAGCGTGCTAACCAGCGTGACATTGACACACATGACACCTCGTGCGTAATTCGTGACCAGATATTGCCCAGCGTCCCGAGTGAAACTCTGGTATGAAGGGTACTGGCTGAAAACCTTAACATTCATATGTTCTATGCGACCAGTCCAATTATTATTGTGTGCGCACTCCCCGGTAAATGTCAATAAACATCACCGCCATACTCACCACACTACTCGGATGGAGGCAAGGTCTAGGGCGAAAAATGTAACTGTGTATTTCTATAAGCCAGTCACCTAATCTTTTCCTTAATAACATGGCGAAAGGCCGCTGCTCAAGCCAAGTCACTGACATAACCTGTGGGTCACCACAATTATCAAAGGGCCACCAGTTAAAACTCCCCCGGGCTGCCCTCCTGCAAAAAACTAGGTCTACGTGAAAAGAGATTACTCACTTGCAGGCAGGTAGAGGGCCTTGTTGACCATCTGGCCTTGCAGCCGGAAGAGCAGAGAGTAGTCTGAGAGCTGGTAGTAGTATCCTCCACGGGAGACGAGCGTCTGGAGCTGCTTGACGTCGCTGGACTTCACACCCACCGCAAACAGGCTCACCACGTGCTTCTGCAGCAGCTCTGCGATGGGTCCAACGGAGTCGCTGGAAGGCCCGCTCGTTATCAGCACCACGCTCTGATGGAATAAACGATCACCCGGGGTTCCAATGTTATTTCTGGGGACGATGAATGCGTCTTGGAGTGTGCGAACGGTAAAAAAGTATTATGGCCGCCTTTTACCGCCGGCACATGTGAGCTGAGCGAGCGTGGAGTCCCTCACGAGAACGGTTGTTTTCGACAGGCTATTTGTCATGCCGAGCCAGAACCGAGCCCTGATATGTTGGCCAAACGAGATATGTGAATCTGGCTCAGGGCTAAGATGGGCCAGTTGTGGAGCTAATGACGCGTTCATTGCTTGTGACGTCGGTAGCAAGGTTCAGCTTCTGCAGCAAAAAACGACCTGGGGCCTCCTGAGCCACAGCTGGTTGACTTGGCATGGCTCCAGTAGGGGTCAGTTGTACAGTGGAAAATAAACATTCAAGGCCGAGTCTGTCAAGTTCCCAGACTTTGCAGTCACAACTTCACTCTCTTAAAGCCTCACCTCTCCCCCCAATGCCCATTCTCTTCCCTCCCCTCGCGCTGCCTCTTCTTATCTTATATATAATTACATAGCACCTTTTTACGAGGAGCATTACAAGATGTACGTAAGATGATGATTGAAATAAAGAGTGGGGGTGTCATTAAAACGGGACGTGCAGTTGTGGTGATGGGAGAACAGGCAGGAGTGGTTAAGGAGGGGTTGGCGTAAGGGTACTGATAGGGGTTAGGGTAGGCCTGGTGATAACTGGGGGGGGGGGGGTGGAGGCAGCGAGTAGTAGTAGGATGGGTTAGGGGAGAAAAGGTGCATCCCCCCCCCCCCCCCCCCCCCCGATACGAGGCTGGGCTGGCTTGGGTAGTGGTGGGAATTGTGGAAGGGGGGGGGGGGTGTAGTAGCAGGGAGTGGTGGGTAGGGATAGTATGGTAGCGGTAGGCGTAGTGAGTAGGAGTTAGGGCACCTGGGATCAGTGGGGGTAGTGGTGGGGGGGAGTCATTGGGGGTTTTGGTGGGGGGTGACAGTCGGGGTAGAGCGGCTTCATGAAAATGAGGAGAATCCCTCTTAAAGCAGCAATACAATAACATATTCTCACATTAACAACGCAAGTATTGAATTACATGTCTAGGAATTGATCGCTTACAAATTTTGTCAATTACGCCGTTAAATTCCAGCTCGTGGAGTGAACAAATGTACAAACGAAACTGAATGCAAACCGAGGGTAAGAACCAGAAGCGTTATACAGAATCGTGACGAAGTGGTAAATCATGAGAAGTCGAGAATGTTGAGTCACCACAAGCAACTGCCTCACAGTGCATGAGCGCCACTCACCTTGGTGGCATCTGCAGGTTCCTTGGCCAGCAGGTCGGTGATGGTGTAGGTGAGGGCCTTGCCAGTGTTTGTGGCGCCGCCCGTGGGCACGAGGACACTGTCCAGCTTGGCCTCCAGGTCCTTGGGCGAGTTGATCTCTGCCGGACCCACCAGCTTTTGGTAGTTGGCTCCGTAGCTCACCACGGACAGCCGCACGCTGTCGGGTGCCAGGTTCAGGCGATGGGCCATGCCCACGATGAATGTCTTCACCACCTTGAGCTCATCCACCGTGATGGTGCTCGATGTGTCCACCACAAACGTCACACTTGCTTTCCTCTCTGCAGACAAACATACAGATTTAAGGATTTGTCTTGATTCAATTCTGCAACATGAAATTCTGTAGCCATTTCTGCCATGTTGGTGCAAGAGATACACTTCTATTCATCACTCTCAATTGTTTTCTTTTGCTGCCCGTAGAGCTTCCACCTCCTCCAGCCCAGCCCACCCGGCTCTTTATGATAAGTCACTCAGCTTGTCCTCTACCTGTCCGTCCGTGCCCTTTGCCAACGCAGCATTTGTGCTTGCCAGTCCACGTTGTTTTATGCTCTCACATCGCTGTAGTTGTCTTGTTACTATTGCTGGTAAAGGCTTATGCTCACATTATTTGACCCGTGATGTTTTAATCGATCGGATTTGCATGTGCGGTATGCTGTATATGATGCACAAAAATAATGAAAAATATGGCATCTCATAACGCCTTTTTGCAACAACTTGGTTCTTCCATAAGGGTACACTTTCCACACAACACATAAATATAATGGCTCAACAATAACAATATGTGTAGGACAAACGATAGTTAGTATTTCTAATAAGCATCCTTCAACAAGGCTTTTATGGTGCAGCTGTGAGGTCCAGGCCAGTAGGCTGGCCCAACGTACTCGGCAGGTAGAGGCTGTTCCCCGTGAGGGAGCTGCTCTTGGTGACCAGGTCCTGGAAGCTGGACCAGGTTAACACCTGTGAGCTGGAGGTGGCGATGCTGGACAGCACACTGGAGTCTTGGTAGCCGGCTCCGAACGCCGACACGAGCACGCCCATACCACGCAGCAGGGTTGCTCCCGCGGTCACATCGTCGGCGGGCTTGCCACCCAGTATTGTGTAAACGATCTGAGAGTATAAGAGGACAGTGCCGGGAGATCGAACTGCATTCCTATCTCAGCTGGGATGCAGGCAACCCAGTAGTAAACCAGACAGCTGATCAGAACCCAGAATAACAGTTGGTCAAAATTATCGAAAGGATACAGAGATTGGACATTTTTAGGCCCAAGTTTATCTTCGTGTAAAATACATTCACATGAAAGAGCAATGTATGTACGTGTAATTTCTCTCACACCGTAGGTAGCCAACCGCGCTTATCCGAGGTGCGAACAGTAGTTGCCTGTAGGTCATGATTCTCATGGCTGCAGATGTAATTCGAGTAGTGTATTTCATCAGGTAGAGCTGCATAGCTTTGTCCCCTCTACACAGGAAGAACCGACCGTACCGTGGTAAGAGCCCAGTTGACTGCGCGAGCCCTTGTCAGGCTTGAGGACACTGTTGGCCACCAGCTGCAGAGCCGCTCCCAGATTGCGCGGTCCCCCAGCCGGCGCCAGCTTTCCCACCGCGGCCAGGAGCTCGTCCTTTCCAGGGAACTGAGTTGAATGAGATATCCGCTTTGGGTGTGCCCCCGACGGTGACCAGTGCGACGCGAGTCGCATCCTGGCGCAACGTCCAGCCCCGCGATTATTTGGGAGACGATCGTCCGCACTAGTGCGAAGTTGGCGTCCGACACCTCGGATGAGCCGTCCACGATGAACACGACGTCCGCATCACGGTTTCCTGTTCGACGGCCACACACAGACATAGAGACCATCACAGCCAGGCCTAGCCGACGACATTCTACAACACCAGCAGAGTAACACGACAATCGGGCAGAGACAACTTAAAACTTCTTCACCGTACGGCATGCACGGGAGGGAGCATCTCACCTGGCACCAACTTGTACTGGAACCCGGTTGTCACCACCGTAGCTGTGAATTGGAATAGAGGGTTACACGATTTGATGGCATGAACATGGAGCATGCACAGCACAACGTGACAAAGCTTCAATGTTTCGGAGTTTACGGTGTTTGACGAACAGTGAAGATAATGAAACAGCACTTACTTGTGATGGCCTGTTGAACTGAAACACACGCAAAACACTCCATTAGATTCCAGAGTAAATGTGCATTTTTGTAAAATAATACAAAAGAGGAACCGGGTTTTTGTAATACCTCCTTCGCCAGATTGAGGAACATTCTATGACGTATACTTAGATATGGACATGCCTAGCTCATTTATGGTTTCAATATGTATGTGTGTTGAACTTCTTTCACACCGTACGAAGCTAACCTTACTAATCCGAGCTGTGTCGGAAGGACAACAAACTAAACACAAAAAAGCAGTCCTAAAGAAATTCGTTTTCATTCTAGATTTTAAAGTGCATAGCTCCAGTGACAGAAGTGCACCTGAAAGCGCATTATGTAGTGTCCGTCTTTGTTTTTTTGTTAGCTAAAGGCCACTGGCAGGATAATCGGACTTCTCATGATGATGTATGCTCCTCGACGAGATCAACAAGGTCTTGTGGTTAATTTGTGGCAAGCACTTTCTGTGAATCAGTGCGACCTTATCACGTTTTTGTCCACCAATGGATAGGATCAACATAATCAAACATAACTGGATGAACCGTGCTATTCACAAACTTACATGATGTAAGTGTTAACTGGGATTTCTTGGAATTACATGAGATATGTAGATCGTTCCCCCAATAAGAGATTGCTTACAATTTGGTGGCAACTGATAGTGAAGTTTCAGCATCTCTACATTTCTACGTGCTATGTGAGTATGTTTGCCACCGGAAGTTCACAAAAATTGACATCATAGAAAGAAGAATACCTCACATCACTGGCAGAGGGGAGAGCTACATGTACTAGCATTGCCTTGAGTGGTGTACCTTTACACAACTGACAACAAAATTGGGACGTCTCGTGTCCCTGGGAAGACTTACAGATTTTCCAGAAAATTTCCCTGAAAAAGAGTAAACCAGGACAGGGGGAGATTCTCTCTATATATCTGTGAGTGTGTGCGGTGAGTGAAGAACAGTTACTATCATGAGCAGAGAAGTGAATCATATTGGTGGTAGATCATTGGATAGTGGGGTAGATACGCAGGGCACACTCACTGGCAGGCAGGTAGAGGGCTTTGATGATGATCTGGCTCTGGATCATTGAGAGCAGTGAGTAGTCTGAGAGCTGGTAGTAGTATCCTCCGCGGGAGACGAGGGTCTGGAGCTGCTTGAGGTCGCTGGACTTCACGCCCACTGCAAACAGGCTCACCACGTTCTTCTGCAGCAGCTCCGGGATGGGGGCCACGGAGTCACTCGAAGGTCCGCTCGTTATCAGCACCACGCTCTGATGGAATAAAACGAGCATCCGTTACCTGCACTTTTCCTGCGACGACGACTAAGTTCTGCCACGTCCAGTGCCGAATGTTAAATACCGTAGAAATAGGGGCTGAGTTTGTCAGGAGCTTACCTGATACATGAACCTCACAATGCCAAACGTTACTCACCTTGCTAACATCTGCAGGCTCCTTGGCCAGCAGATCGGTGATGGTGTAGGTGAGGGCCTTGCCAGTGTTTGTGGTGCCGCTCGTGGGCACGAGGACACTGCCCAGCTTGGTCTCCAGGTCCTTGGGCGAGTTGATCTCTGCCGGACCCACCAGCTTTTGGTAGTTGGCTCCGTAGCTCACGACGGACAGCCGCACGCTGTTGGGTGCCAGGTTCAGATGATGGGCAATGCCCACGATGAATGTCTTCACCACCTTGAGCTCATCGGCCGTGATGGTCGATGTGTCCACCACAAACACCACGCTCGCCTTTTCCTCTGCACGCACACACATTTTCTCATTTGTAATTTACAGTTTGGGGCAGCATGATCGGCAGACTTCTCACACAGACTCATGCATTAATATAATAAATGATGCCCGTAGGTTGGAGTTAGGTTTTGGTGTTTTCTTATTTACAGATATATAGAACCCAAAACATAATTAACTCTTTGAAGATACTTACCTGTGGTACAATAGAAAAGAGCACCCCCCTACCACAATGATTTATTTTTGTAGCAAAAGGATAATTTGGACCTGTCTATGTAGCAGGCACGTATGTATGTTGAACTTATTTCCCACTGTACGTAGCCAACCGTGCTAATCCGAGGTGCGGGCACAGATCATCGACAGCTCCCTTTGACATCCACAGCTTTCTGCTCCTGTCCCTCTTTCGGTCACCTATCCCATTCCATCCCCTTCACCTCATCCCCGTCACCTTAATCCCAGCCACCAATCATACACATCGTCACATCTCGGACCACATCTCCTCATCTCCCGCCACCAATCACAGATCGATTCTGGCCAATAGGTTGCTGGTGGGGCTTTTGTGAGTACCGTACGGGTAACCTAGTAACCACACCAGGTAGAGAAGTTCCGGGATACGTGGGACTACCTCACCACACGCGACCTTATGTCTGATTGCGGCTGTAGTGAACCCATGTATGCTGCTTGCTGGGGAGTAGCAGCAGGGATCTAAGAGAACTGTGGGCCTGTTTTAGCCGCAGTGGCGAGATGTTAATGACCTCGCCTGGTATGCAAGAAGGAGGTCATGGCTTCGGTCCCGACTCTGACGTCTGCTGTATATTTGGAGTTTGCATGTCTCTCGCTATCCCCGTGGTCGTGTGGATATTTCTCCGGGTGGTCCGGGGGGTTTCCCTACAAATTTAGAATCGACGTGCATTTTAAGTATTTGGCTGTTAGAAATTATCCGCGTGATGATAAGCCACTTCGTTGAGCTATTATCTGTGGCCAGGTTGCTTCTAAAAAAGAGCTACATATCTCAGTGGGCACCTACCTGGTAAAATAAAAAAGCAAATAGTTTACAGTTTAATGACATAATTTTGGCAGCACCCCCTTATCTGCTGCACACAGTGACCCGCGTGTTCCGAAAGATGAAAACGACGTTCGGAAACCGCACCTTTGCCGTTGCCGGCACGCGGGCAACTGCCGTCATTCAGAAGCTCGCTCAAGACTATGCAACACTGTGAATAGCCACAAGTGTCACCGCGTCAACTTTCTCACTGCAGTGGACTCATGATGAACGTTCAATGTTTTTTTTTTGTTCAGCACCCTTCTAACGGCTGGCCATGTTACGGCGCTATAGAGCTTGACGCTTTCGTTTATGCAGGCAAAAATGACAACGTGGAACTCACTTGTCTTGTAGACGAACTGGCCCAGGTTGAAGTTGAGGATGGACTGGAATGAGGACCAGGTCTTGACAAGGCGCGAGGAGGTGGCGATGCTGTTCAGCACCTTTGTGTCCTGGTACCCGCCCGACAGCACTACGTGACGCACCCCCAGCCCATTCAGTGTCACCACCGACCCCGATACATCGTCGGCTGGTTTGCCGCCAAGGATCGTCACCAGCATCTGCAGTACATCACCAGCGGGTCAACTTCAGCACCGCGTAATTACCACAACTGCATCGGTTTGAGAGTTCCAGTTTGTACAATGATCTGAGGATAAGAGACCCTGGTCCTCATTCCAGTCCATTCCTCAACTTCAACCTGGGCCAGTTCGTCTACAGGACAAGATCGTTCCTATTAGCTGCCCAATCTGCGATACTCTTTTTGCGCAAGTTCCAATCAACCACGAGTAGACCATACAGATCCTTGAATAGCTATAATTATCCAGAAAGAGAGGAAGATTAACTTTTTGGCCCCAGAAAATACTCCTTCAAACTATTTTGCCTCGAAGATCAGTAGACACTGGTTCCAGTTAGAGCATCACCCTCAGCAATGCAGATGTAATTCAGCTAATTTATGTACGTATATGTTGAACTTTTTCACACCATACGGAGCCAAATGCGCTAATCGGAGATGCGGGGAAAGGACAACAAACTAAAGACAAAAAGCAGTTAAATGGAGAGCTGTACACTTTTTCCCGTACAAAAGAAGACCGATCATACCGTGGGAGCTCCAAGCTGAATGCGGGAGCCCTTCTCAGGCTTGAGGACACTGTTGACCACCAGCTGCAGAGCTGAGCCCACATTGAGCGGCCCTCCAACCGGCGCCAACTTTTCTACGGCCGTCAGCAGCTCGGCCTTTCCGGAGAACGAGTTGAGGAAGATGTCCACTTTGGGAGTGCCCCCAATGGTCACGAGCGCAACACGCGTGTTGTCCGGCCCCACTTGCAGCCCCGCAATTATCTGGGAGACGATCGTCCGCACGGTCCCGAAGTCGGCCGCCGAGATGCCGGAAGATCCGTCCACCACGAACACCACGTCACCGTAGCGATTGTCTGTAAAGTGGCGAGAATAACAATCGCGGCATGTCCGGTGGTACTCATGCACGTTGGCTAACTGATCCACTCTACAAACATCAGAAACAGGCAAGTGAAATTATTTGCTCAAAATCCTCATCCTGATGAGGCCTATCAGAAAAAAGATACAGCCCTGAAATTGCTTGTTCACACCAGTGCTGATGGAAGACCATTGACTAGAGGAAGCTCTCGGGAGTCCCGACATCTTGACCGAAACGTAGGCAACTTGCTGATCGGCTGTAGTGTACCAATTTATACTGATGGGAAGAGGAATGTGGGTGGAGAATTTAACAAATAAAAAATCTTGCCCCATAGTTTCAACTGACGCCGGTAACAAAATAAATAACAATGGCAGTGCACCTCGGGCATCATCATTGCTTACCGCAAATGAACCACAATACCTTGCCGATCTTGTCAAGGACCATAAACCATCACATGAAACTCTGGTCATCCTCGCAGTGGCTTTTGGCTAAGCCATCGAACAAAAATGGCCAACGTATCGCACGTTTACCGACGCACTTCTGCAGCAACCTGGAATGCCCTTCCGATATTAGGAAGTTACTGGAGCTACACACTTCTAAATCTAGATTTTAACTAATTTCTTTAGTACTGTTTTTGTGTTTAGTTTGTTGTCCTTCCCCCGCACCTCTGATTAGTAGGGTTGGCTACGTACAGTGTGAAAGAAGCTCAACATACATACATCAAACCGACGCTTTTGTGCACATTTATCCAAACATCCTCACTCACCGATGTTATATGGTGACGGAACAGTCACTGGAACGACCGTGGTGACAGGAGCAGGCTTCGTTGTGGTTGTGGTAGTGGTCGTGGGAGCCTGCGTGGTCTTGGGTATCGGGACGACAGGCACTGTGAAATCAAGAAGATGCCATCACCATGGGGGGCAAGGAGAGAAGGGCACTCCTGAAGAGTAGGACAGGGATGGGCAAACTCGCATTCTTTGGTCGAACTACATTTCATATTGTCTCCGGCGACACGACGCCTGCCACCTATGAAAGTATTTTAGCCACACTCGTAAAGTGCTAGGTAAAGGTGAAGCCCAGTAATTGCTTGTTCATGCCACTTCCGGAGGAAGGGCCCATCGAGAGGGTATTCTACAATGGCCAGACATCTTGGTAGAGGCATACCCACACTTTTCCCCACTAGAGGCAGCCTGTTGATTGACTAGCCAATCTGGTAATAGAGAGAATTGTGTTCGAGCTGGCATTGTGTATGAAATTCGAGAATGCTCGTTCATCAATGGGCAGAGCACTGCAGAGTGCTTTTCTTTTGAACAAATTATGAGCAGCCCAGAACACGTCATCGTAACAGGAGCTTTTGGTCCGAGGAGTTTCTTCGCTGAGCGTTAGGTCGTGGGGGCGTGTCACAATCCAGCCAATTGGACGAGGGTGGCGCCCTACCTTCCTGTGAGCTCTCGATTCGCAGATGCAACGTGCGTACTCATTGGCTGAGCGGACCCATGACGTCACACTGCTGTTGCGAGGCTCTCGGCGTCCTCGCGCAAAGTTCAACCAGAGAGCCAACGTCCGCCAAGTAACACCACCACCACCACGGCAGAGCACTTTGGCCTAATCAATGCACCCCGGCTGTCTTTTAGGTCGTTTTGAGCACACAGTCAACACGTCCCAGACATAGCTTGATCAGAGTTTAGTGTCAAGTAAGGTGAGGTTCGTTTGTATTTTGAAACCTTTTTCAGCTCCCAGTACGGAACAGCTTCCCTTCCCCTGATGCACACTCCCACGGTGGCTAGATGTTAGCTACCTCGCCTGGTATACAGGAGGTTGTGGGTTCGACTCTGATTCCTTTATATTTAGAGTTTGTATAATCTCCCCGTGGTCACGTGGATTTTGCTCTGGGTCCTCCAGTTTTTTCCCTCCACATTTAGAATCAACATCATGCGTTTAGAGTATTTGGCTGCAATACATTTGCACATGATAAGCCACTTCGTTGAGCTATCATTTTTGATAGCCAGGTCGCTGCTGAAAAATATCTATATAGCTCGGTGGGCCTTTCCTGGCTAAATAAACATCATTAAGTTTCGTTTCGGAATGGTTGCAAGCGATGCAAGGTACTTTGAGTTGCAAAGACATAGCCCCCTCTATGAATGCAAATCCTCATCTTTAAACCACGTACCCGTGAAGAAGAGACTGCTGATGATCTTGTAATAGCTGTTGAGGATGGTGCTGGATTCCGTGAACTGGAACCAGTGAGACGAGGTGCTGACGACGGTGTCGAGCTGGGACGACTTGTGGCCCACACCCGTCACCGTGATCCCGCGCTCTCGCAGCAGTTGCACCGCCCCCGTCACGTCATCGTCCGACTTCCCCCCGGAAATGATGAAGATGCTCTGCACGACACCGATTCCGACACGCCAACATCAGACCCGCCGTACATTTCCACGTGATGATAAGCCACTTGGTTGAGCTGAAATGTGTGATAGCCAGGTCGCTTTCTTAAAAATATCTATATAGCTCAGTGGGCCTTACCTGGTAAAATAAAAAATTGCTTAGTTTAGGCCGCTCATTGTTTCTCATAGGGTTACCATCGTTGTATGTTTTTCTCAGCATTGTACTCTTTGAGAGGCGTAGCGTTTCCCTTGTCATTCGTGAGGGGTAGGTTCTGGAGACACTCGTGAATCGCAAATTTCACAGACAATGATATTGACCTATTTTTTTATTTTACCAGGTAAGGCCCACTAAGCTTTTTACTCGTTTTCAGAAGCAACGTGGCCACAATTTATAGCTCAGCGAAGTGGCTTTTTCACATGGAAAATTATAGCGACCGAATTCTCTAAACGCTGTTGATTCTAAATGTCGAGGGAAAAATCAGAGGACCCGGAGAAAAAACATGCAACCATGGGAAGAACATGCAAACTCCAAATATGTAGCCGTCAGGGTCGGGATCGAACCCATGACCTCTTGTATACCAGGTGAGGTAGTTAACATCTCCCCACCGTGGCGTGTAGTATCGGCACGTTGCACACACCTGGGAGAGCTTGGCGGTGGTGGTTTCCTTGTAGATGTTGCTAAGGACGTAGGTGAGCGACGCACCCAGGTTCCGTGGCCCCGAGACCTTCTGGATGTTGACGATGGTCTGCTTGAGGCTGTCGACGTCGTTCTGATTGCCCAAAGGTACCTCTAGGCGGCCCGCGCCGCCGATCTGGTAGACGGCCACCCGCAGAGAGCCCCCTATGTAGTAGTAATGGGTGATGATCCGTTCGACAAACTTCTTGATCAAGTGGAACGTCTGCTGCTCCACACTTGTCGAGCCATCGATCAGGAACACGAGGTCGCCGGAGACCGCTGCCAGGGCGGGGTGACACACACGGGAACCGGGGGTTAATTTTCAGTTGTATTCAGGGTACAGCTGTGACAATCTTGTGTGATCTATATTGAACACAGGTGCGCTGCAGGTGAGGACTGTGATACAGGTGTGCTGTAGGCGTGGTCTATGACCCAGATGTACTGTAGGTGTGGTGTCTAACACAGGCACGGTATATTCGTCCTGGTTGTTTGAAGGACAAACAAATTATTTTGGCACGCAGTAGGCTATGCTTAAAATCGACGGCACGTGTAAACATTCATCCTTGCTGCAGGCTGTTCTATCCGAATCTCAGCTTATAGCCCTGAATTACTGGTAGTTCGTAATGGGAACATTTATCTGCCGGAGACCAAATAGAAGTTGTACTTCATACGTTGCACCTCCGATTAGCACTGTTGGCTCCGAACGGTGCGAAAGAAGTTCAACATACACACATTATATATATATACACGACCCCTTCCGGCAGCGGAGGAGTCTGAAAGCAACTTGCGAGTGCCGCCCATTTTCCTTGCACGCGAAGGGTTAGAATCCGGGCCTCTCGGGGGGGCGGGGGTCTCACCGGGCCGGAAGATGTACTTGACGAGGCTGGTGACGACGACGTTGCTGAGCCCCATGTAGTCCGTCACCGTGAAGGAGTGCAGAGCGTACGGGAACGACGCCACGCCCTGGATCAGGGCCTGGTCCACGCCGGATCCCACGCCCACCACGAAGAGGCGCACGCCGTTCGCCTGGAGCTGCGCCGCAGCCTTGGCCGCGTTGTCGGCCGACGCTCCGCCCGTCAGCAGGATCCCCACCTGGGTACGCTGCACGCACAGAGGTCGCGAGGTCACCGTGTGCGTGTGGGCCAATTGTATGCATGTATGTTGATGTACGTCCGTTTGCTGAACTTCTTTCACACCACCAAACGTAGCCGACCGTGCCAATCGGAGCACGAAAGCACAAAGCCCAAAGCGGACGATGGGAAAGGGCCCCCCCCCCCCCCCCCGACGGCTGGAGGATCCCTACAGGACCAGGACGCACCTGTATGCCAGCGTCGACTGCTTGCGAGAAGTAGGTCATGTAGCCCAAGGAGAGCGCCGCGCCCACGTTCCTGGCCCCGCCCACGGCCTTGAGCTGGGAGATGGCAGCAACGAGGGTGCTCCTCTCGGAGTACGCGTCGAACTGGAAGGCGGCGACGGGCGCGCCGCCCACCTGCACGACCGCCACGCGCACCGTGTAGCGCCCCACCTGCAGGTAGGAGAGCACCTGCACGAGGAACGCCTTGAGGGACACGAAGCCGGCCTCGCCCAGCGTGGCCGAGCTGTCCAGGTAGAAGACGATGTCGGCGTACTGGGCGCCGCGCGTCACGCCTGTCGGTAGCAAGGTGGATGGGGGGGTGGTGGAGGGAGGACAGGGAGGGGTACGCTGAGCACGTGGTGGGGGGGGGGGGGACCACATCTCGTTTGGTGGAGCTGTTGCGTCTCCCGTCCTGTGCTCTCATTTTGTTCGGCCCTCGTGTATGTATGCACGCACGTTGAACTTCGTTCGCGCCGTACGTAGCCGACCGTGCTAATTGGAGGTGCAACGGCGAGGTGGTTCAGGAGCTCGATGCAAATGTCGAGGTCCGCTGCTGGCCACGACGAGAGGGCTTCAGCAGAGAAAGAGTTCGTGTCGTGTCATAAGAATAGGTTTGACCCTTTCTGGCAATAAAACAGGTGGTGTTAAGATGTTCAAACACCAAATATAAACCTTTTGCAAGGAATCATGTGCTGCATTAATCACACGTACTTGTGGTGAACATGCAAACAAACATCCTCTGATAATGTAGTCTCAAAGACAATTCAGACCTTATTGGTCACCCCGTGCCCCTATAAATCTCAACATTCATCCTACAAAGTCCCATCACAAGGGAGAAACACAAACAAATAGACAAAAAAACATGTTGTTGCCCGTATTGAAACGGCTGTACGCCGTATGGACCTGAGAACTCAATTTCCCTGCACAAGAATATGTGATGCCGCCGCCGCGAAGCCGTTCGGCCGGCGCCCCATCTACGACCTCGCCACCACCAAGCGACGGGGCCGACCCCGCTTCCCCCTCACCGCCCCCCACATAAACACACCCCCACACATTTCCCCCCCATAGAGTTCCGAGGGGAGGTCACCTGGCCGGCAGGTTTTCACCCGAAAGCCCTCATAGGGATAATCTTCACGGTTTCCTGCGGCCAGGGAATTGAGCGACCTCCCCCAATGCTAATTCGCACCGCGGCGCTGTGGCCTGGGTTGAGATTGCATGGTCACGGCGGGGGCTGTCCAGCCACCATGGTTGAAATGCACCCCCCACACACACCTATCGGCAAGGCAGGCAGGGGTCCGCAGCCATGAACGAAGGGAGAAGCCAGGGGGGCGGCTGATTGGCATAGCGTGTGTGCTCGGGGACCGCCGCCGCGCAGCAGCTCACGGCGAGCCCTTTGTTATGGAAACCGCAGCTGATTAGCATAGCAAAGGCGCACGTGGACCGGCGCCGCAGCCAGCGGGGGCCCATTATTAGGGAAACCGGGAATGCGGCTGAACCGGTACGGCGACCTGATTGGCCGAGAAGGCCCTCGGGTCGGCTGTCTTTGATGTAGGTTAATGATAAAAGGGGAACGCAGACAGGTAGAGCTTTCTCTTGCTCATAAAGTCAGCCCTCGGGACGGTCTCCAGTTCGGCCACTCGAGCGTCCGTGTGACGCGTCGAGGTGAGTAGGGAGGACAAGCTCGCCGGAGTGCCGTACGCATCGAATTGTGAGTAATAATAAGAGGGAAAGAGAGTGGTGAGATTTGGTCTACAAACAGAGTATTGAGATTTAGTCTAAAAACCAAAGCAGCTTAGATCGTATCAAACTAGATAAATCGGGTACAGACCATCGGGAAATAGTGTAAGCCTGCCTCGCCGATTCCTACTGACTCAAAAGTGGCTCACAGTCGGCCGGTAATAAATAGTTAATAACTAACCACAGTCTCGTGTGGATTCTACGAGTGTGTTGAAAGCGCGTGGTGCTGTGTGTGTGCGCTCGTAACGTGGGTGGTGGGTGTTTTCGCGGGTGTGCGCTCCGTTCTGTCGCCGTGGAGACTCGTGCTGCATGAGGGCTTACACCTTTTTCCACGGCCCCTTTAAACGAGCGTTATTACCCGCTCGCGGCGGCCGCGCGTGTGCGAGCAACGTCATTCACCCTCCGACCCCTGACCCCCCGTTCAGAGCGTGTGATTGCTGCGCGGGGCTGTGTGAGGGAAGGCACGCGGAGGGTGTTTGAATGGACAAAGTGGCTAAGGAGCCAGCCGAGAGTTATGTCTCACAGAGAGGAATCGGGGGGCAGTAGCCCCTACAAATACGGGGTAAACTATACGTGTTGACACGGCATGGATTGGTGCCAGAAAGATGTGGCCACTACTTTAGCATATTGACACAAGACAGAGAGTAAAGTGGAAACAAATGACGAAATGATAATTGGTTTTTTACCCTTCCATCTGGCAACAAAACTGACACCTTTTTTTACAAGGAGTCATGTTTGCATAGACCACAATACCTGCAGTCATAATGCAAACAAAACACATAACTCTGATAATGTGCACTGTCCTTGAAGTTGATTGGTCCATACCCGAGACAGCTTTCCTTAGAGCCTAGTCTCACATGGGTTGGACCAGATGACGCCAAAAGACGACAAAATCTACAGGCCTATCTGCCCCATGGATCGTGATGACGACAATCATATAGTCGATCATCGATTAGCCAGCACCTTCAGTGGGAAGGGGGTGCCGAATATGCAAAAACTCCGACTAATCACTACATCATTATTTAAAAACATGTCATGCACATTCTTGATGTTTTGTATATGTTTTTTGTGATTTAAAATAGTTTACTATACAAAAATAAATAACCTTCTGTAAAAAGTTACTCTTCTGACTGTACCCTACTTACCACTCCAATCTCGAAGACTCTGCATGGGGTAATGTATGCACTACGCTTTTGTTTCAACAACCATGAGTTTGACGATAGCCGGACTGGGCTACAGCCTTTGGAGAGATGTCGGTTTCGCCGGATCGGCCCAGGACCGCCAGACAATGCTTGGAAGCAGCCGGATAATCGCCCGGCCGGATAATCGATGATCAACTGTAGTTCTCACCTGTATAGAGCGAGGTGTGGAGGATCCTGCCCAATGCGAGTGGCAGCACCTGCGCACCGCCCGACAGCTTGTAGTAGTGCAGATTGAAGGGCGTGCTAACGAGGCCGCCCAGCTGAGCCAGTGCCAGCCCGCCCAGGTCCAGCGCCAGGACCCGCACGCCGGACGCCTTGAGCGCGTACAGCGCCTGGGACGGCTCGTCCGTGGAGGGGCCCGCCATGAACAGCACCACCACCTGCGCACGGAGGTCGTTGCGGTCGTCGAGGTGAGAGAGAGGCGCTCCGGTAAGAATTGTGAGGGGCTCCGTGCGCGTGAGCCGATGGGCCGTGGGTAATTAACCGGTGTTCACACGCGAACGTTAAGGACGTCGAAGGTGACCCTTTATGATTTCTATGTTGTTGCCACTTCCTGACCCCGTGCCCCTACTGGACGTGTCCTGACTTGTGGTTGAATCAAATATTGGGGGGGGGCGGGGGGCGGGCACCTGACCGATCGGCCGCACCCCCTGTATCGATAACGTCCTGACTATCCCCACCGGCTGTCGGTATGGTGTGACCGGTCACGCTCACCTGGTTGACGCCGGCGTCGCCGCGCCCGCCCTTGGCCGCCGACAGCACCGTGCCGCCCACGAAGCTCACCGCCTTGCCCAGGTTGCGTCCGCCGGCGCCTGACAGCTGCTGCACAGACTGCAGCTTGGCGAGCACCGCAGCCACGTCCGTGCCCTGGTCCAGGTAGAGCTGCACGGGACGCGCGGGGAGCGGGGGGGGGGGGGCGACACAAGTTTGCACCGGTGCTGGACCTCCCCTAGGTGGACTCGGGCTCAAATGAGTACCCCGGTGTGGTGTGTGAACATCGCCACTGGGGGAGATAAAGGCGGCCAGGCGTGGTAATGGCCACCCACCCCCTCGTGTGCCGTGCCAGCCTTTATAGGTGCTCGCTAACAGCACTTGCCCCTTGATGCATTGCTACTGGAGCCATGAGCTTTTAAATCATCTAGATTAAAAACACATCTCTTCAGATCGAATTTTGGTGTTGTGTCTGTTGTCCTTCCCCCGCACCATCCGATTATCACGGTTGGCTACGTATGGTGGTGCGAAAGAAGTTCAACACACACGCACACACACGCGCGCGTACCTCAACGGTGACATCGCCAGCGAACTGGACAAACGCGACGCGCAGGACACCTCCACCGCCCTGCACGTAGAGGAGCAGGTGGGACACGAAGGCCCTGACGGCCCCCCACGCAGTGCCCAGAGAGCCGTCCACCATGAACACCAAGTCCAGGGAAATCGCTGTGGGGGAGGGTGGGAAGAAGACGAGGGAGAGACAGAAGACAACGGGAGGACATGGGGGAGTGAAGAATGGCGATGAGTGACTTGGAGAGACACAGGAGCGCAGCTGGGAATGTTGAACTGACCGAAAAACCTTGCAGTCCACGAAAACTTCAAATCTCGAATTAATGTTGAACTTCTTTTCGCAGTGCACGTAGCTAAACCGCGACAATCGGAGGTGTGCGTGAAGGACGACAAATTGAACACAGAAAGCAGTTCTAAAGGAAGGAAATAGCAGGAGGCTGCGCTAGTGGATAAGATCGACGTTCTTCCCTCGTTACACGTCCACTCAATACGCAGAATGTCCCTTTCGAACACAACTTGTAAATTCGGGAACGAAATTTATGTTACGTTAAATTCGAATTAACGGCATTTTGAATCTCTTAAATGAGAAAAAATACAAATGCTTTCGGGGAGTGGGGGGGGAAATAAATAGAACGATTGGAACGGCCTATCGTTTTTCCGAACGTGCATTTCGTGCCTCTCCCGGTGGGTTTTGCGCGTGGGAAAATGTTCCACGCCGTGCTGGGGTTTCCCGAGTAATTGCGGCCGAAGCTCGGCCTCGTTTTGGTTGAGTCCCCTCGTGCCTATCACGCCCGTGTACCTCCGATTAGCACGGTCGGTTGCGTAGGGCAGCGAAGGAAGTTGAACATAGCGTACTGCACTGTGCAGGGGTTCACCCTTTGTTTGAACGTTTCTTCGGTGAATGTCACAGCGGTGTCTCGTGAAAGAGTACCGTGTCAACCCATCACGGTTCACCTCGTATTGTGCGGAGAAATTAGGTTTTCAGGTCCGTATGGCGTACAGCCGTTTCAATGCGGGCAAACCACGCAGTGGTGGATTTGCGAAACGACGTTAATAGCGAGCGACGTTTATCTGGGCATTACTGCACTATGAATTATTTATCGTAAGACTTTCGATTTCCCATTAAACATGTGCTTCAAAAAGGTTTGCATGCATTTTCAAGTGTCGTTGTATACAACTCTGATGGGAAAACAGGCTTCAACGTACGGAATCTATTCACTTTGCAGGCAAATTTTCACGAACGTATCTGTCCCGTATATCGTGGCACGCCCGTATCTTCCTCCGCGGCCCCAAGGCTTCGTTCCCACGTTGGCGAGTTGTTAACTACCTCACCTGGTCTACAGCAAGTCGTGGGTTCAATCTCCATGCTGACGCCTGCTGTATATTTGGAGTTTGCGTGTTCTTCCCATGGCCGTATGGATTGTTTTCCGGGCCCTCCGGTTCCCCCCCCCACCCCACATTTAGAATCCACGTGCATTTAGAGTATTTGTCTGTTCTAAATGTCCACATGATGATGATATAAATGTCCGGCACGATGATGATAACCCACTCCCTCTGGCCATCCATCATCCGCGATGGGCCAGGTCGCTTCCGAAAAGGAGCTACGTTGCTCAGTTGACACCTACCAATTAAAATAACAACAACATAGTCACGAACAAAAATACGTCCCTCACCTGGTCTGACGATGACGGATGTGACCTGGCCGGCGATGCCCAACAGCTGCCCGTAGCCGCCCACGGCGTAGAGGTGCATGCCGATGGGGTCGCTGGGCAGGCGCTGCAGGTCGAGCAGTTGGAAGGCGCCGATGCCGACGACGAAGGAGCGCACCCCTTGGGCTCGCATCAGCCCACGGTACTGGGCGACGGCGTCAGACGATGCGCCGCCCGTGATGATGACCAGCACCTGCAGGCGGAGTGGGAGCGGCGGTGGGAATGGTCAGCGGACAGCGGCAGCACCAGGGGGCAGCAACGGCATCTGGAGCAGCAGCAGCAACATTATCGCCAGCAGGAGCAGCACGACATTTGACACAATGTGGTGTCGCTGCCATGTCAGCAGTCTGTCAATACACTGCAGGCACGCTGGTCACTGCAGGTTGAGGTGGGTGCCCCGGGTGTCGTGGTTTCGACGTTTTTTTATTGGCCACGATAGTCTCCTTACTTGACTTGACGATGTCAAGACTTGACGATGTGCGTATGTTGAACTTATTGTATGTGTGTGTATGTTGAACTTAGTGTATGTGTGTGTATGTTGAACTTAGTGTATGTGTGTGTATGTTGAACTTAGTGTAAGTGTGTGTATGTTGAACTTAGTGTATGTATGTGCGTATGTTGAATTTAGTGTATGTATGTGCGTATGTTGAACTTAGTGTATGTGTGTGTATGTTGAACTTAGTGTATGTGTGTGTATGTTGAACTTAGTGTATGCATGTGCGTATGTTCAACTTAGTGTATGTGTGTGTATGTTGAACTTAGTGTATGTATGTGTATGTTGAACTTAGTGTATGTATGTGCGTATGTTGAATTTAGTGTATGTGTGTGCGTATATTGAACTTATTTCGCACCACCACACGTAGCCAACCGCGCCAATCCGAGGTGCGGAGGAAGGACAACAACAACAAAGCAGTTCTTAAGAAATGTGTTTTCAATCTAGATTAAAAAAACAATCGATGATCATCTACTGATGCATGTGGATTGATGCTGCATTCGACCACACGCTGCTGAATTAGCCCGAGGACAGCGTTCCAGTCGAAATGTGTTTGATGTCTTATTTAATCATGTAACCTAAATTATGGACATTCTGTCAGCCTGACTCTGAATTGCGGCCTCACCAGAGTCAGACTTGGAGAGTTGTTGTTGTTGTTGATCGAAACGTCGTGATATTTCTTGACATTTTCTATCTACGTGGCTTTCTCGAAAGACCCATAGAATATGTAAATTCCTGCAGTCATGAAAACTTTAAGTCAAGATTTAGTCACAGACCATTCACCACAATCGTCGTGTCCACCGGCACTTACCGTCATCATCCTTGCAGCGCGAACGAAAACCGCCATCGTCACCGCCAACCACAGAACCCCCCCCTGTCAATCACGCCCCCCCCCCCTGTCAATCACATTCCCCCCTCTGTCAATCACGGACCCTCCCTCTTGTCAATCACGGACCCCCCTCCCCTGTCAATCACGGACCCCCTCCCCTGTCAATCACAGTCCCCCCCCCCTCCCCTGTCAATCACGGACCCCCCGGACAATAACGGACTCCCACCCCTCCCCACCACTCCCCCACGTTTTCACCTGCGGGACTCCATCTCCGGCCCTGCCGCCCTCTGCCTGCGAGAACGCGGTCGCGAGCACGAACTGCACGGTGGCGCCGATGGCCCTGCTGCCACCGTGCGCGGACACCTTCCCCACGGCGGCGACCACCTCCTGCTGGCTGGAGAACTGCCCCAGCTTGAACTCGGAGCTCTGCTTGCCGCTCAGCTGCACCAGCCCCACGCGAACCTGTGCCGCCCCGACGCTGAGGCCCTGCACGATCTGCGCGACGAAGCCCTTGATGAGCGTGAAGTCGGCGGCCGCGACGCCGGCCGAGCCGTCGATGGCGAAGATCACGTCCAGCTTGGCGAACGGACCTGGCGGTGGAGATAGCGACGGCAGTGATGAAGACTTTTTTTTTTACAAAGCGGCAAGCGACGAGGGAGAAGGAGGGTGTTACAGATGAACACCGTAGACTTTCGCGACCAATATCATCCATAATAGAGTTTTTTTGGGTTAGATTGCGTAAGTATATAAATGTGTCGTTTCAACCCGCCACCACCCGACACAGCCAACTAGTAAGGGTTGTCACCAGAACCGGCCCTAGACCTTTAGGGGCCCTAAGCAAAATTTGGTTGGAGGCCCCTTTGATGTATGATTTTTTTCACCCACTTGCTCGCAGTGATTCTAGGGGGCCCTCTGCTGGACACGGGGCCCTTTGCAATTGCAAGGGTCGCTTAGTGGCTGGGCCGGCTCTGGTTGTCACGTAAACAGAACGTGGCCAATTCGTCACTAGTACAGCACACACCGGTTGTGTGTTGGAAAGCAAAGCCAAGTACGACGTTCCGCTAGTTGTAATTACTGGCGAGACGTCGTACTCAGATTGTAAATGTTCAAGTTCATTTGTTAGGTATAGCCCTATGAGCCATGCGGCTCTTAAGTCGGGTGCGACCGCAACAAACAAAATATGAACACAGACGTGTAACAGAAAACATCCTGGAATAAACCAGCAAATATTTTTTTAAAAACCCGTTATGGCTTAGGGGAAAGGGAAGGTGGTTGATGACGACGACGATGCCGAGAGCCGGCGGGCACAGTGCGATCACTCACCGGGCGGTGGCGTCGGCGTCGGGGTCTGGGCCTCCTGCACGACAGTGCAGACGGTGGAGGTGAGCGCCGTGATGATGGAGTCGAGGCCTGCGAAGTCGGTGGCGTGGAACATGTGCTTGTCGACGGGCGGAGACGCCATGAGGGCCAGCTCTTTGCGGTCCGCCTTGCCCACGCCCACGGAGAAGATGACGATGCCGCTCGACTTCACCTCGTCCGAGGGGTCCTTCACCTTGTCGTTGGCCTCGCCGTCTGTCACCAGCACCAATATCTGAGCGGGCGGGGGGGGAGATACGGCAGCATCGGCATAATCAATCGTCATCATTATCTCATACCGATCGTAATTATTGTCATCGTCATCATCATATATGACCATTGACAACAACATTATCATCATCATCTAACACAGCATCATCATTACATCAATCATTGGGATGGAGATACGACAGTATTGGCATAATCAATCGTTATCATTATCCCATACCGATCGTAATTATTGTCATCAACATCATCATATATGATCATCGACAACATTATCCTCATCTAACACATCATCATCATTACATCAATCATTGGGGGGGGGGCAAGGGAGATATGGCAGTATAGACATAACCAATCGTCATCATTATCCCATACTGATCATAATTATTGTCATAATCGTCATCATATCATATGATCACCAACATCATCATCGAACACTGTGCATCTTCATTACATCAATCATTATGGGAGGGGGGGGGGAGATAAACTTGTATCGGCATAATCAATCGCACCAAAGACTCGTTTGAGGCTGAGTTCAACAAGAGGGAGGGCCGGCCCTGGACTGGTTCAGATATTCACCACCGGTCATGGTCATGAGTGGGAATCGAACTTGGGTAGCGAGGCTCATAACGCAGTTCGCTAAACCATGAGCGCCACACCGCTCCCCAGCAGCCTCAAAGCACTGTTATATCAGCAATGCAGTCCGTGACAACCCATTCTCATCATCGTCACCATCATCATTATCACCACCACCTCCCCGCATGTCCCAAGGAGGCCGTCCAAAAATGACGTTACGCGATTTTGGACGATTTTTAACCCCCCCCCCCCCCCCCCGCTTCGTGACACGACGTCACAAAAAGTCACACCCCCCCTCAAATATGACGTCAGAAAGCTCTGCCCCTCCAAAAAAATAAAATATGCTTCAAATCGCTTTACACTATTGTCATTGTAGTGCGCATTTAATGTGGCGCTGCACTCTGATGTTGTAGGAGAAAACATTTATTTTAAAGTCTATTTAATTAAGCAGAACGTGTTGTCTATATTTATTTAAAGTTGCGCATTTTGATGTGACGTCACATTTCTCAACCCCCCCCCCGTCACACATCGTCACAAATGTCTGACCCCCCCACCCCCCCCCCCCAGGTGCGTGACGTCATTTATGGACGGCCCCAAGGCAATACAAGGATACAGCTTATCCCAGAGCGCCATGCACGAGTCAAGCATCTTCAGAATTAGAGTTTCCATCTGTCTCTGCCGGCTTTGACCCAAAGTAGTTCAGGAATTGGCATCGGCGTTCGGGTGGCGGGAATTTATTTGCACCTAGAATTTTGGTCCCGGTCACACAGGACACGAGCACGGTTTCGCTCACAGACCTCTTCCTGACTGAGAAATGCGTTCGTGTGCGTGTGTGTGTCGAGCTTTTATCGCACCGTACGTAGCCAACCGTGCTAACCGGAGGTGCGACAAAAAAGGTGGTAAATCGTATTCCAGTGCTTCTTCCCAATTGTGTATGGGGGGGAGGGAGTCCCATTATAATGATCAGATCTTTCCCTGCTTGCCTCCGGTGACACTCCAATCGCGAGGCTCACCTTGCCAACGCCGGGGCGTCCCTGCCTCTTGAAGAGCTGCAGAGTGTGCCGCAGCGCCGCTCCGGTGAGCGTGGCTCCTTGCATGTATTTGGTGCCCTGGATGGCGTCCTTGAGCTTCCCCTTGTCCGCGTACTGCCCCAGGTCGAACTCCGTCTTGATCATGGGGCCGCTGTACTGCACCATGCCCACGCGGACCTTGTCCTTGCCGATGTCCAGCTTGTCCACCAGCTTGGCGAGGAACTTGAGCACCAGCTGAAAGTTGCCGGCCCCCACGCTGCCGGAGCCGTCCACCAGCAGGTAGACGTCGGCCGTCTGCTTGTCGCTGCACACTGTGAGTGCCACAGTGGGGGCAGCAAGGGTCAGGGCGGTGGCCAACCCGGCATCTCTTCCTGAGACACATGTGAGGCCCTTTATAAAAAATCGCACGTGGCTCTATCGAAGGGGGGGGGCGTAATAGTGTAGAACGTGCTGTCAAAAGTAGCAAAGATTAATGGTTGAAAGTTTTACGATAGGTTTTACAGTCTGCTCTCCTATAATGCGGTCATTGTGTTCCTGAAGAACACCACATTGTGGAAAAATCGCGTTATAATAAATGATATATAACATAGGGGTAAAGCACAGTCCACGACAACAAGTGAGATGCGTGACATAGGCCGAACAAAGACTGAGACGCGCAGGTAGCATCTAGAAGCATTCAGCAGCATCCCAATGCCTTGTGTGCGACGCTATGCCGAGGCAGCCGTACGACCACTTATTCTTACTTACGCAACATAGTTCCACCCCCGCTAATCAAAGTTCCATTGATTAGAGGGGGGTGGGAGTTGGGGAGGCGGGGGGGGGCAAACGTAACCTTCGAAGAGGCCACAACATTGTGGAGGAACCCCGGTGTGGCTCCAGACCATGGAGGTCCTGCGCAGATGCCATATTCGCTGTTTATCTGCTACAGCATAGGCGTAGGGGAATGTTAACAGGACCTACCTACATCTTGCTTCATTGACCTGGTCAAGGCCTACGATACCATCAATAGTCCAGTGCTCTCTGGGGTCGCTGACCCTCTCTGCTCACAATCGTTAAGGACCTTCATTATGGTAGGCAGGCCCCTGGCTGGGAGTTGCAGCCGTTCCCTGTTCACCTTGCGATGTCCTCTTACCCATACACGATTTAACATCTTCTCTGACCATGTCGTTCGAGAGGCTACCCATGGCTGTATTGGATGAATTTCCGCGTAGTACAGATATAATGGGATAATGATGTATGCCTAGGTGCGGTGAGGGGGTGGTTCTGTATTGGTCAATCTAGTTATGTATGTTGATCAAATAATCGCTGCTCACTCTTAAAATGAGTTGGAGGCTCGTCTGATGAACCTGGAGCATGCCACTAATATGTGAGGTCTTACCATAGTTCCCACAAAAACAAAGGACCTTCCTGGGTATTTTCTGTATGCCTCTCTCTGTGTGTCTCTGTGTGAGTCTCTCTCTCTCTGCTTGTGTGTCTGTCTGTGGGACTCCATGTCTATGTTCTGTCTCTCTCTCAAATTTAGCAATTTTTTGGAAGAACGTCATCAACCAGGTGGAGTGTTGACTGTTGTATTGGCCGACTCTCTGTGTTGTATTGCATTATATTTCCAAGTTTACTATATTTGTTTTCTCTTTCATTTGTACCTGATGATGGTTGCTTGTGTTGCAATCGAAACGTCGTATTCTATTATTATAAAATTTCTTTCTACGTCACTTTACCGAAAGAACCAAAGAGTAATTCCTGCAGTCACGAAAGTTCGAATCTAGTTAGAATAAACTGACTTAAGAAAATGCGTTTTCAATGCGAGACGGCGCCGCACAGACCACCCACACCTTTACTCGGCAAGGCGACGGCCTGGGTCGCCGCAGTCACCGGCACCGCCACCTTGGCCTCCTGCGCGGCGGTGCAGACGGTGGAGGTGAGCGCCGTGATGATGGAGTCGAGGCCTGTGAAGTCGGTGGCGTGGAACATGTGCTTGTCGACAGGTGGAGACGCCATGATGGCCAGCTCTTTGCGGTCCGCCTTGCCCACGCCCACGGAGAAGAGGACGATGCCGCTCGACTTCACCTCGTCTGAGGGGTCCTTCACCTTGTCGTTGGCCTCGCCGTCTGTCACCAGCACCAAGATCTGAGCCGGGGGTGGGGGGTGGGAGATACGGCAGCATCGGCATAATCAATTGTCATTATCTCATACCGATCGTAATTATTGTCATCGTCATCATCATATATGACCATTGACAAAAACATTATCATCATCATCATCTAACACAGCATCATCATTACATAAATCATTGGGAAGGAGATACGGCAGTATTGGCATAATGAATCGTTATTATTAACCCATACCGGTCTTAATTATTGTCATCGTCATCATATCGTCTGATCATCATCTTGAGAAAGCTTCCAGCGCGTGCAGATAAACGTCGGACCTCTTTCCAAACGACGTTCTTTACGCGCTAAAAGCACACCAGAGAGCGACGAATGGCACCTGTGGAATTGTGGCTTTGTGACGTCACGTGTCTACGCTTGTGTTCATTTGTGAATGTGGATTTGCGAGCCTTTGTCTTGCAATCCCTTCACCCCCCGTCCTCTGCGTTCTCACCTTGCCGACGCCGGGGCGTCCCTGGCTCTTGAAGAGCTGCAGAGTGTGCTGCAGCGCCGCTCCGGTGAACGTGAATCCGCGCATGTATTTGGTGCCCTCGATGGCGTCCTTGAGCTTCCCCTTGTCCGCGTACTGCCCCAGGTCGAACTCCGTCTTGATCTTGGGGCTCCTCATGTCGCCGCTGTACTGCACCATGCCCACGCGGACCTTGTCCTTGCCGATGTCCAGCTTGTCCACCAGCTTGGCGAGGAACTTGAGCACCAGCTGAAAGTTGCCGGCCCCCACGCTGGTGGAGCCGTCCACCAGCAGGTAGACGTCGGCCGTCTGCTTGTCGCTGCACACTGTGAGTGCCACAGTGGGGGCAGCAAGGGTCAGGGCGGTGGCCAACCCGGCATCTCTTCCCGAAACACGTGTAAGGCCCTTTAATAAACAATCGCACTTGGCTCTATCGAAGGGGGGGGGGGGGGGATAGTGTAGAACGTGCTGTCAAAAGTAGCAAAGAATAATGGTTGAAAGTTGCACGATAGGTTGTACAGTCTGCTCTCCTATAATGCGGTCGTTGTGTTCCTGAAGAACACCACATTGTGGAAAAATCGCGTTATAAAAAATGATATATAACATTGGGGTAAAGCACAGTCCACGACAACACGTGAGATGCGTGACGCAGGCCGAACAAAGACTGAGACGTGCAGGTAGCATAGCGGCAGTGTAGAGGTCAGCGCGCTGTGCTACGAACCTGGCCACCCGAGTTCGATTCCCGCTCACGGCCAACACCAGCGGCGATTATCTGAACCGGTCCTGGGACTCCCCTAGGTCAACTCAGCCTCAAATGAGTACCTGATGCGGTGCTTAAAAACATTGCCACTGGGGAGACAAAGGCGGCTTGGCATGGTGTATAAATACCCATTAATTGGCTGAAAACATCTTCATATATTATGGGACCACAGAGGGCTTCGGTAATGCTTGGCACTGGGTTACCGCCTGGCGGCTTCTCGTCTGTGGTTCCTCCTCGCGTCTCTGACTCACACCCTCGCTTCGAGAGTGAGCGAATATGATGCAGTTCGTTATAGGTCGAACATTTACCGTAATACGCGCGGTGCTAAGAACCAGGCGAGCCGCGTTTGATTCCCTTTCATGGCCAATAACGGTGGTGAATTTCAGAACCGGTCCTGGACCTCCAGGTTTGGTTTTGTTCAATTTCCAGGTTTTCCGCTGTGGTGTCCCAGAAGCGATGACACCCAAATCCAGCCCTGCATCTCCCCCGGTGATCCCTATCGTATTCGCTGTCGATCGGTCAGTGCGTGGGCAAATGGTGACCCCCCCCCCCCCCCCCCCCCAATGTTGACCCTGACTTGTGTGCTAAAGGCCATCATGAATCGTGCAGGGATTCTTACCCTGGCTGCGTCGAGAGATGATGTGTTCGTCGTCGTATTGCTGGAATCAAGAAAATAAATAGCTTGAGGTTAAACAAAACGTACAAATCACAAGAGCCATCGTCATCATTTTCATTTCTTTAGAACTGCTGCTTTTTGTGTTTGGTTTGTTGTCCTTCCCCCCGCACCTTCGATTAGCATGGTTGGCTCCGTGCGGTGCGAAAGAAGTTCAACATACATACTGAAATATACACTACACTACACAAACTATGTGATACACTACACTATACACTACTATACACTGCACTACTATGCTAAATTGAAAACTCTTTTCTTTAGCACTGCTTCTTGTGTTCAGTTTGGTGTCCTTCCCCTGATTCGAAAGGAATTATCTTTATTTTATTTTAAAGAAATACATTTTCTTTATTTTTCCGAAGCATGGTACGCTTCCAACAACAACATTTTGATTGATTAATATATTCCGGAGTCTATTATCATTATTATTGGAATCTAACATGGTCGTGGAGGGAAGGCGGTGGGGCGAGGTGAGTCTGCGATATGAATCGAGATGAGATAAGATCCTTGAGATGAAATCGCAGAACCCAGAGAAGTCCCAGCCCACGTGGGGTGACACCCACCCTCGTTTGTTCCGTGGGTATTCCCCCGATGACTCTTATTTCATATCTTGTATTTCAAGTTGATCTATGTATAGTAAGATTATACACTTGTTTTTTTAAACCTATCTTTTTGAAATGTTCCTATGTAATGCGAGCGTAAATGGGGTTGTTGCTGGGCTCTGGTCCAATCACACGGCCCGGGGTATTGGGGAGCGGAGCCTGGTCTGCGGGGCGTGTGGGAGGGGCCACCGTTCACCTCGGCTCCAATGGGAGGCGAGGTGAATGGGGGCGGAGCCAGCGGGGTAGTATGGGAAGGCCGGATCTGACGATCCGGAAGGGGAGGAGTCAGGGTCACGTGGGGGGAATGGATATAAGTCGGAACCCGGAAGAGATCGGGGCAGTCGGTGGAAGTTAAGAGTCTGAGCCACGTTGGGTGGTGAGAGATAGATCCGCGCCATCGGCCACGTGGCCTAAGGACCTCAGCACGCCGTCGGCCAGCGGTGTGCGGAGTGCGGGAGTAGAGGAGCTAATGGAGGAGCGTGTGTGGCACGCGAGAGGGAGTGTGTGCGGGGCGCGCGCGAGACGACGCTGGTCCGTGGAGGAGACCAGCGGGGTGCGGAGAAGAACCTGAATAAAAGACAAGCGGAGACCAGCAGTGCCTGACGGAGTCTTTTATTACACCTACAAGATTTAATCGCCATATGTTCATCATAGTTTGGTTTAAATCTATTTCTTTCGTACACTTTTATTGCCGATATGATGTTTCCTCTGCGGCGCTTTGAGGCCAATTTATTGGGAGAGGCGCAGTTATAAAACAAAGATTGGTCGACCTTGAAGCCGAACGTTCATTTGTATCACCATGCGAGATGCAACCGGACAGCCTGGGGAGAATGCATCAGTGCAGCGCTACAGAGATGTTAACTACCTCTCCTGGTATTCAGGAGGTCATGGGTTCAATTCAGAATCGTACACCTTTATATTTGGAGTTTGCATGTCTCTCTCTCTTTCCCCTTGGTCGCGTGGATTTTTCTCCGGGTCTTCCGGGGTTTCCCCTCCACATTTATAATCGACATGCGTTTAGAGCAGTTGGCTGCTGCTATACATTTCCATATGAGATTATGGTTCCCCTTTTATTTGGCAACAAAACAGGTGTTAAGATTTGATTTGAAGCTTTTGTGACTGCAGGAATTACTCTTTGGTTCTTTCGGTAAAGTAACGAAAAAAAGAAAATAAATTAAATTTAAAAACATACTCTTGATAAGCCACTTCGTTGAGGCTATCATTTATGAGGGTCAGGTCGCTTCTGAAAAAGAGCTACATAGCTCAGTGGGCCTTACCTGGTAAAATTAGGATTAGTTTTATAGTGTTCAGAAGTGACTCCAAATCACCATCGTCATTGTGGAGAATATATTAACAATTAATAAGCGTTTCATGTTTTATTTTATTTTAGTCGTCTTAAATCGAGTTTGACGACAGCCGGTGAGATTTGTCAATTCTCAGCCTGTGGATTTAATTTGGTCATTCCAATATTCAGTCCGTACATATATTACATATATTGCCAATTATCATGTATGGTTGCTGTTATGACTGGTTCTAGTATCGTCAGCGAGTCGGCGCCTTCATACGGACTAGATCATGTTCGGCCCATCACACTCATAGCCCCAAGTTGCGAGTGAGCACAAGGCAGACCCTACAATAATTACAATCAAAAAGGATCACCAAATAATCCCAAAGACGTACATATTAAAACACATACATTTTTACCTTGCATAGTAAAAAGTAATTGTATTTTTTCATTTGCTATACAAGCCAGATAATACGATGAATCGCTAACCTTAAACACCCAGTCGTTCTTAAAAGTTGAAGGCGGTATAGTACTATAGTAATAGAGCAAGTGCAGAATCGCTGAACCGGAATTTAAAGCTCGAAAGCATTTAGCGCGTAGCTACTACATATGTAGCTGCTTGTACTACTAGGATAATCTGGCACTTATCAGCACCGCGGCCTTAGATTGCATTCAGCTGTGGCGGCTAGCGAAGGATAAGGATCGCCTGGTGGTGCACGTGGCGAACTCTACGCCACAACTGCATTCGTTTCTATATTAAAAACGCTATATATAGATATATCTATGAGATGGACGTAAAAATAATTTTTTTGAAGAAAACAAACCCGATGGTGATAATGATGCAGGCAGTGATGAGAAGGAAACTGGCACTATTTGGACAGAAACGTAGGATGGACAACAGCGGGGAAATTAAAAGTGCGTTGTTGTTCAGAAGAATGGAAGGAACCGGAAATAGATTAAGACCTCACAGAGAATGGCTTGATGACGACGACGGCAATCAGAAATCGGTTCCAGAAAAATGTGGCCCACTACTTGAGCATCGTGGCGCAAGGCAGAGAGAGGAAAGTGTAAGAAAATTACGAAAGGTGCAGTGGACACCTACGGGACTATCTTGCCTATGGATCGTGATGATGATGGTGGTGGTGGAACGTTTTGACCAGTATCACAACGACGCAAACATTAGTAGAGGTTTTACCCTTTCTGGCACGTAAGACGAGAGGTGTTAATGTGTTCAAACGCCAAATAGACACCCATTGCAAGTCATCAAGTTACTGCATTTGCCATTCGTTCGGTGCGTTGAAGGCAATTTCCACATCGACGCCCAACGCAGAACTGGAGGAGCGTTCTTACGGAAAACGTCTTGGCTCCAAGATGTCATTCAAAATCACACGAGAGAATGCAGAAACTCTTTCTAAAGCACGTACTTAATGGACAAGCGATACTTTTACGATACATAATTCACAATAGAGGGATAGCCCGATTTATATCTCTGTTGTAGGCCAATCACTTTCAAATACAATGCATATGTAGGGGTGATACGCGCTGGCAGTAGGGATCGTGGGGCAGCGCGTGGTGATTGGCTGTGTAGTGGTGACGTGCGCTGACAGTGATGGATCGTGTGGCAGCGCGTGGTGATTGGTTGTGTGCGCTGACACAAGCTGGGAAAAGGGATCGTGTGGCAGCGCGTGGTGATTGGTCAACTAGGGTGGGTGCTCACATCGAGGTCCGCATAGGCTCCGTCTCCCCGGGAGCGGAGGACTATAAAAGGCGATGCGCGCGGGCACTCGGGGAGTTGGTGACCAGTGAAGACGGAAGATGGAGGAGGAAGAGATAGGGCCCTGAGACCCCTGGTCCCGCTGTCCTTGTAAGGACCGGGACCCTGTGTGGCTCAGAGGCGGAACCTTGGGACCCGGGGCCGGACGTCCGTGTGAGGGCCGGGCCACGGGACCCAGTGGTCGTGACCCATACCCAAGCTGGGGTGGGTCTGTAGGTTCCCCTGGAAGCTACGGGGCTGGAGAGCCCGTGTGTGTGTAGCCGGGTGGAACGTGTAGCGTGAGCTGTAGTGACCACACATGTTATTGTGGCAAAGACAAGTGTTAATAAAGTGTGCTACCCGTCAAGTGGTCTCCCGCCGTAATTTACAATATTACAACTGTCGTCAGAAGTGAAACAGTCTTCCAGCCATGGATACCAGGAAGACTCATCGGACTCACGAGCGTGACCGGGAGGAAAACCACGACGACTCGGGCCAGCAGGCATCGGGGGGAGAAGAGGAGGAGATGCCGGCGCCACAGAACCCCTCATGGGCGCCCAACGAGCGGCTGGGGTCTGATGCCGAACTCCGCGACGCGCACTCCCGCCTGGCAGAGCTGCTACTCGCCGCGGCGTCCATCCTAGTGGAGATCACCACGGCTGGAGGAGCGAGAACGTCGACGGACATTGAATGGGATCGCGTTACAGATTCCCTCCAAAATGACTTTGAAATTCCCGCCATTTCTGCCAAGCGGCCATCTGTTGGCGGGAATCACGAGCAACACGTGGCGGGGGTCCTCCAATCTCTGCCGCTCACGTCATCAGCGGGCGCTACGGGCCGCCATCAGCCACCTGCCATAGGGGCCGCCATTTTGCATGTCGACAGTGCGGCGCGGGAGAGTCATAAGGCGGAGGACGACATTATTTTCCAGCAGCGTCTTCCCGCGTTGACAGCCTTCAAGGTGGAAGGGGGTGACTGGGGCGCCTTCCAGCGAAGATTTTTCGCCCATCAAGAGATGTCGGCCTGGTCCGACGCTACGACGCTGCGGGCACTGCCTGCCATGTTGGACGACGACGTGCTCGCGGCCTTCAGGTCCGCACCCAGACCGGCCCGCTCCACGCTCAAGGCTGCGCTGGGCCTCATGGCCAAGGTGTACGGGCCACCTTCGGTCTGCCGCCACCAATTTTACGAACGACGGAAGGCGGACACGGAGACCGCGCTCGCCTACTGCACGGCATTGTTGGCCCTCGCGGACGGCCGCGTTCCCTCGTATGGACGAGGAGGGGCAGGACGCTATGGTTTTGGAACAACTGCTGAAGTTGGCGCAGGACCTGGGGGTCCCCATC